CACTTTGGATGGTAATGATGGTGACTTACACTTTGGATGGTAATGATGGTGACTTACACTTTGGATGGTAATGATGGTGACTTACACTTTGGACATAATGATGGTGACTTACATTTTGGATGGTAATGATGGTGACTTACACTTTGGATGGTAATAATGGTAACTTACACTTTGGACATAATGATGGTAATAAGATTACTTTTATACGAATATCATTATTTCCAAATAAGGTATACCCCCAATGACCTCACGAAAACCACATTCTCGACAGAAAAGAAAAATACAAAACCTTGCTGATAGTCCGCTAAAAGAAGAAAACCCATTCATGCTAGAATGGTTTCTAGTAAAATGTAACAAAATTAAAATCCACAGAGTATTATAATAATAATGTTACCTGTAAAACACATTAGTTAAAATATTCAAACTTACGGTTGTTTCGTCTTCGTGTAACACTTGGTCATATTCACTCATGCCCACACAGAATATAATAGCAGTCACATCTTCAAAGCAGTGGATCCACTTCTTCCGCTCTGATCTTTGTCCTCCTACATCAAAGAGTCTGAAACGAACATTTCAAAAATGAATGTTATTTCATTTTCCCAGTTAGAAAATCAATTTTGTTTCCCGAGTATTTCAATCTGTATGCTTTATTGCATCCAATATCATTTTTACCAAGACGGCCTGGAATTTATTATTCAGAAGTGAAATCTGAACATTTAGTTGTTAATCTAATAATGAAGTTGGAGACGATTGATAAAACACAAAGTATTTTCATTTACAAGGTTCGAACGTTTCGAAATACAATCATTCCATTTTCAGTGAAATCTGAAGATCGTGTTAATAAGATGATTATTAGCTACAACGATGGTATCATTAATCACTAGTTTACTTAGTTATTAAGTGAAGTAGTAAACGGAAGGATAAAAACAAAAGATTATAGTTATATTGCACATTTAGAAGAATATTAAATCTAGAACTTTGCAAGTCGTTTAAAGTAGAGTGGTTTTTAGTTATGAGTAAATTTTGTCTAATGTAGAGTTCAAGGTCTGAAGATCCCATGGTAACGACAGAGAAATCGTTATATGAATATTGTGACCCGTGGTTTCAGAATGTGGACGAATGCATGAGTGGCTGGGTTTAAGTAGTGGACGGTTGGTTCTTTTAGATGCCCGTAAGTGTTCACATACTCTAGTTTTCAATTAACGTTTTATTTTGTCAATGTACGTGACCGTACAGTCACTACACGTATTTTTTTACACGAGCCATGAACGTAGAAGTTTAGGGACTTGATCTTTGTACTGAAATAAGTGTCTAATATGGAGGCTAGGTCTGTATATTAGTCTGAGGCTAGGTCTGTATATTAGTCTGAGGCTATGTCTGTATATTAGTCTGAGGCTAGGTCTGTATATTAGTCTGAGGCTATGTCTGTATATTAGTCCGATTTATTT